AGCAAGTTACCATTATTTTGGGAAACACTGATCAAAATAGCTTCTGTGACTGTAGGCTACTGTAAATATGTTTGTCAATAGGCTTTAATTTTCCAAAACTGAATTAAAAACATATAGTACCGCTATTAGGTGTTTTGATGGCTCACAGACTGAGAAGACTATATCTATATCTCTTGAGAGAAAACTGTGACCCCCTTCCTGACAGCAAACTTTAATTAATCACACTAATGATGACAAATTACCGTTTCAATTTCAAAGACAAGCACTCCCTGCAGGCCAGAGATAAAACGATGTACAACAGCCTTTTAAATCCGACTCAGTGAATACAAATATCCTCCTGTCTCATCAGAAAAATGCTTTTGAACAATGATTTTAAAAAGTAATATTTAATTGGGCATCTCAGCGACAGTGCAGTTGCCAGAATCTGCATCCTAACTAATAAAATCGCAGCTCTATGGTTGTAAGACCAATGCTTTTTTTTCCAGTCTTCTATGATTGCTGGATAAGGATTTTTTTTTAATCTAGGTGATGAAATACAATATTTGAGAGTTCTGCATCATCTCCAATGTCAAGAACAAAAGTGAAACTGCAAAATAAATAAATAAAAAATGTTTTAACACTACTACCAATACTCACATATGGACCTTTTTCACATTTCCAGTTTTCTCAGTGATTGTTGGGTAAACTTCTATAGTAGTGAATGGGGGACTTCCACAAATATATGCATTCCCATTTACTCAAATAGAAAAAGAAAAAACGCCACGATAATGTTTTCATGACTTTCAAAAACAGGATAAAAATAGAGAGAGACTGAAAACGGCAGTCAGTAGAGAGAACAATGTCAAATTTACTGTCACTTTAATAAGCTGTATTAGAAACACCCAGAGATGGGCAGTATTTTAATTAAATGTATTTAAAATATGTATAAGAATATCTCTTTGGGTTTGAGACTTTAGTCTTTGCAACTTTAGGGATCTTATCTATTCACGAACAGCTTGTAACACTCCAAAGAGAAAGGAAAACTTGAAATCGCATCGTATGACCCCTTTAATGACAGAATTTCCATTTTTGGGTGAACTATACCTTTAATTCGGCCATGGTTCCATCTTCCAACTGGAGAGAGAAATAAAGAAGCTGTTTTGGTGCTCAGTGCAAACTGGCTAAGTAAAATATATACTATCAGATATTGCTCACTGAATGTTATTACAGGACAGAAGAAAAAGCTGTGTTGCTCTACAACTTTGCTTACTAGCTGAGAAGTGTTAGCTTGCTAACTAAAGTTAGCTACTTGATTTTATGGACAAAATGAAATTTTTAAAGGGGATTTATGAAAGGATGTTCAAGCATGAATCACTTTTTTATTGCCAATGTGTGAACAGCATGTAATGAAACTTTAAAAATGAGAGCCTGTAGACTAATGTTTATGTGAAGGACTCCCAGGACTTTCCCAGGTTTCGCTGAGAAAATCCAAGGGAAACTATCATAACAGTGTAATTTTAATGAACATCATTTGTTGATATGATGTTGGTGAATCACATTGGCCGTCGCTCGCTCGCATTACTATGGAGTGCGTGCAAGAGTATGATCAATAAGTTTCTGGCCACAGCTCACTTAAGGGCCACTGGTGTTGCTAATAACAAGGGTTTCTGAATTCTAGAGCCCTTTAACAGCTAAATATCAGCATTTTTAGGAGTTAATCTCTACTGTTGACAGTGAAATATCTTTCAACTGTCTGTTTCTCAGGACTGCTTAATTTTTGACACACTGATAAAGAAATGATAAAGGAGTGATACAGAAACATGAAAAAATAAAGCGCAGACATGCTTGATTCAAGTAAACACAGTCGGTTATGTCTTAAGTGAACATAAGAAATTAGAAGAAATAGGCCTATCAATATATTGGATATAGGCTATTCTCTAGTGTTAGAGTTAAAGAATATGTTGTTTATAAGTTTTTCAAGGAGAGGAAAGTACTTATCTTTCTCTTATGTGTGTATCTAACTCCAGCATTACTAAATGTCATGGCACTGTCTCACACTTCAAATGATTGCTTGTAAATATTGTTTGTATTTTCAAATTACAAATTACTTGTATTTTAATTAAATACATTTCTCACACCAGTATTTTGTATTTTAAATTAAATACATTTGATGAGCAAGTATTTGTCATTTGTAATAGTACTTTTTGATGTATTTGTGCCCATATCTCACCCTCACATTTAGTTAACTATTTTTTTGTAATTTGATGCAAATGTAATATAATACGAAGTATAGTGTTATAAATGTACATAGTCTACATTAAAAAAAATAAAAAAAAAAGAAAACTTTGGAGGATTTACGATGCTGATGACCGTTGAAACGCTTCATCACGGTCTTGTGAAAAGGGTCCATAGGCTTACAGATAAACAGTTACGTCAAAAGACACTTATTAACATATCTTGTCAAGCAGATGTCAGGTTTAAAGCTCAGAGTCATCTCAGATGTTTCTCCTGATATGATAATAGTTGACAGCATGTATAAAATAAATGTAAATAGCAGCTCATTACATTGGTATTGGGAGAATTTAATAAATTGAGATCTCTGATATCTTTGCTAATATGAGCACAGTTTGAGACGTTTTTGAGATCTCTTCTGAAACTCTTTAGGAGACATGAGATTTTTCTTAAGAAGCTGAAAAGCAGACATTTTCATTTGCGCAATATTTAATCTCATTCTAATCTAGGAGAAACAGTTGAGATAATACATAGGCTAAATGTAAATAAATACAATAATGAGAATACACTACTGTTCCAATGTTTAGGGTCAGTAAATTTTTTTAAATTAATACTTATTTAGCAAGGATGCATTAAATTGATCAAAAGTGACAATAATGGCATATGTAATGTCACAAAATATAAAAATCCTAAAAAAAAATGAAGCAGCACAACTATTTTCAACATTGATAATAATCAGAAATGTTTCTTGAGCAGCAAATCAGCATATTAGAATGATTTCTGAAGGATCATGTGACACTGAAGACTGGAGTAATGATGCTGAAAATTCAGCTTTACATCAAAGATATAAATTACATTTTGAAATATTTTCACAGAAAACAGCTATTTTAAATTGTAAAAATATTTCACAATATTACTGATTTTACTGTAAAATTACTCAAATATATGCATCCTTGGTGAGCAGAAGAGACTTCTTTCAAAAATATTTTTAAAAATCTTACCCCAAACTTTTGAACGGTAGTGTATAAATACCTGATAATTTGAGTTTAGAAGTGCAGATACACACATGCATGAACATAAACACAGCAAGCACATGCTGACCATTTGTCTAAGGACATGTAGTGTCCACTTACCCTGAGTTTCGTCACCAAGAAGCATTTGGACGAGTTACTTGGTAAACGATTAAGTGGCCTGTCACTGAAAATATTTGTACTTTTTCGCCTTCTAGTGTTTAAAAACGAACATCACGGTCAATCTCACAGAGAGCTGAACAAACGCGCCACCCGGCGGCAGACTCGCGGATTACAGGCTGCGATTTCAAAATATTCAAAATATTATCAACACGCAAATAACACGTACTTTGCATGTAAATCCCAATAACAGACGCTCTTTCAAAACAATTAAACAAGACTTTTCATTTATAAAAACTGCAGACAGATTGCAGCACATGCCATGCACCTACGGCGTTCTCTTGTACGTGCTTCTCATCAGACAGACCTTGCAGTTAATTAAGGAAATTAATTAAATAAAGCATGTACTTACAGGTGACATGATGATTCAGCACACATATGTGAATTTAGATCGTAATCCAGTGTGAATTCGTTATTTTGTCCTTTGTCTCACAGACTCACGCTGAGACTTTGTGGGCGTGGCAGGCGCCTGAAAGTTGTTTCAAGTAGAAAGGGTCTAAATAATTATTCTCATATTTTAATTCTTTCGTTTGGCAAGTGTTAAAAATCTATTATATACTATTAGCTACTATCCCTATATTTTTTATTTATTATATATATATATATACACACACACACACACATATATATATATATATATA